AATGTTCCCCCAGTCTTTATGCTAAGACAATTTAACCTTCTGCTGGCAGATGCTTCATATTTAGCGTACAGACATAAGATCAGTATCAATCTTACCATCTAACTCTGAGCAAAAAAACTAATACATAGTCCGAACTAAATCCCAAAATATTAAACTACTTCTTTACAGAAGGCACTGCATGGAATTACAATCAGCCTCTTTCTCCATCTACGGTCACTGCAAACATCAACTGAAAACCATGGTATGTTAAATATATGGTAGAGTGGAACCTACATACTGTTTAGTTTTCATTGTTCATCAAGAACCTGTTACATAATGAGACTTTTTTTTTCTCCCTTATCTTCCCAACCAGTTTCTAAGTGACTGTTTGCATTCCCTGTTTTAATGAGGAATGGGTATCATTAGCTGAACATCATCAATCTGAATAATGTCCACAATGTCAGTGTCCCGTCCCACAGTTTGACTTTCACTCATACTGTAACACACGCTTGAAGACAAAACAACATAACAGCCCAAAATTCAAAATGTCACAGTATTCCATTAACTAAAAAAACTAAAACATAATATAATGTTATAAATAAAAACATAATGAAATACAAATTAAGCCCAAACTTTAAGAGGATAATAAACATGCACCCATGTAAGACTAAGCACAGAAACCAACAGTTAAGACTAAGAGAGAATTCATAAAACATTTTCAGAGTAAGAACATATTTTCAGTTGTCTGACTTGGCTTTGTAATGTCAAGGCACTGTATAGCTTAAATACGATTGTTCATGGCTGTAAGTGTTCCACAGGATTCGAGTACACTAAAAATAATGTTACAAAAACTACATCAAACATAATAAATCTTACTGTACATTGTGAACAATCACAACAGAGTGTGAGAAGGGTGATAAGTGTTTGGCCGGGGAAGAACTATGGACGCCATGTTGACTGCAAATATGTTACATATGAAACAATGCCCTCCACAACATACTGAAACTACCGTGAGATGTATAATTTAGCTCCAAATAATTGCCAGTTATAGCCAGATTATTGTGGAGCAAACATGCCACTGAAAAACCTCACTGACCAACCTACAGTATCTCAACTCTGAGTGTGACTGGCTAAACAGAGGTGAAAAACGGCTAAAACACTAGTCTTGTTTTCCACCATAAAACACACCTTAAAACTTGTTTTCATGGGTAAAAACACACTTAACTGTACAGTATCTAACAGTGGACATTTAACTAAGTGCAGATTGTTTAGTTTTTTGTTTTTTAAATTTGCAATGTGCTGAAGTTGTGGTCAAACAGACAATAAAAACCAATACACTCAAGTTTAGATGCTGAGGAAGAAAAACAATTGAATCTCATTGAATAGATATATCTAAGTTAAGTTAGGGCATTACTGTTTAAAAGATATGGGAGCTAAGGTGTGCCCAAATTGAATGTCAAAAATGAGATTTTTTGTTTGTGGAAAAATTAGACAATTACAGTGTATTTTTGATACCACAAGTAGTGCTAACTCTGGTGAATCTGCTATATATATATATATATATATATATATTATTGTCAACAAATCCCATGAATCCCCCAAAACCAACAATGAATTGATCTGTGTGTTATTTTTAGTATTAGTATATGTTATTAGTATAATATGTTTTAGTATTGTCTGTATCTAAAGTCTGATATTGCTCACTCCTCTGTGCCATAGAGCTTAATTCAAAACACATCAGCGAGCCACACTGTTAAACTGAGTGACATATTCATTCATTACAATGCACACAGACACAGTTGTTTTTTTTGCACCAAATACAATGTGTAAGACAGAAACCTGCCAAGGGACTGTAGATGCAAATTAGCTTTAAGATGAACTATTATATTCCTGCTTGAATAATGTTTGCTACAAACTACAGTGCCCCGCTGATTTAGAAAATTATGTAGCCTTTTTTTAATAAATGAAACCATATATTTTTGATCTAAAATGTACGTCTTATGTACGTCTTCAGTGGACTGAGACAGACAGGCTGGCAAATATCACCAGACAGACTAACACATTATATTATATATAATATATATTATATTATTTTAGGTCTTCTTATGGGATTTGAGTACAATAACAGCCTTTAATTTGTATATTCAAATTGTTTTGCTTTTAAATGGAGAATTCCTGCAGTAAAAAGGTATAATCCATCTTTTCACAGCAGACATTGCAACATGTTATAGTAGAAAAAACAAAGTGGTAACAAATAACATGAATGATATTGTGCATGCTGACTCACAGGGATAGCTTACTGGGAACTAAGGGGTCGGTAATGTTATTCGTTCTGTCTGTGTTTTTCCTGCTATGACAAGTTAAACTGTCTGCTGTGAAAAAGGCCTAATACGGCCTGGTCTCGAGGATATAACGATCACATCACAATGGGATATGGATGGGGAAGAGCAAGATCCTGAAATCCACTGTACATGAATGGACAGGTTGCATGTATGAATGGATTTGGCCACACACTGTTATGGGATGATGTGGTTTCCATCATGAGAACTGTTAAGGAATCCTTGAGGAAGTCCAAAGTGTTGGAAGAATGAATGGAAGTGGTTGTCGTGTGTCCGAATGTTCGCTCAGACTTCAAGTCTCAGAGTTCACCATGGATGAAATGATGTTCACCAAACTATCAAGTCCAAAAAGGTAACCATCTTCTCTGTTGCCCTCTACCCACGATGCTCGGTGAGTAAGTTCATCCCCTTCAGGAAGAGGCGTGGTTTTCCCAAAGTCGATCATCCAGACTTTGGCCCGTCCTTTGCTGTCGTGAACGAATAACAAGGAGCTGCCAATAACCTGCAGAGCCGCAGAAAGACAATGGGATGAATAAGGAAGCAGGCAAGAACTACACAACAGTCTTTTCTTCAACTCGACATTATACATTTGTTTGTGTCCTTCAAAAACATGTCACTTCCTGTTTTGTTGCACCAAATTCTTACAGTCATGTCTACTGGTATGTTTATCTGACTGTTAATGTGTGTGCGCGTGTGTGAGTGTGAAACTGAATGTGTGCATGTGTGGTCTGGGCTGTTGCTGTCCAATTTCCATGACGAGACCTGCTACACCTGTGTGCGCACTGGTCTGCGTGCTTGAGTGAGTTAGTGTCACTCAACTACATTTAATTATTAATTGAATCAATGAATTACAATTTGGATGTGCAGTGACACAAAATACATGTGAACCAGGACTGATTCAAGCTATGTGCTTTGATTAAAGTTAATATAAAGAAAACATGTAAACCCTATCAGGGTGTAGTCACTTTACATGCTACTATACAATATATGAACAAATAAACAGTGCAGAAACAAAGCAACAAAGCTAAAAATAACATTGCATCCGCTACATGACACACACACAGACTTAGAAGGTCAGAATAAAGTTTTCATGCACATTTTCACATGTTTGTGTCTAAAGTTTTACTTTCAAACTTAAATGACTAAACAACAGATAAGATCAGTTTTATGTAAATTCTGTTTGTCTTAGAGCAGCAGCACTGTGGAGACCAGCAGTTTCCATCACTTGACGTGTGTCTTTACCTCATGGGTTTTGAAGAATGGGGAGATCTCCAGAGTTTTTTTGATTTCCTCCAGCCTGGTTAGATAACTGGTCTGGAATAAAAAACACACACAGGCTTTTATATTTTGTTCACCCAGTTCTGCCCCTTCTGATGCTGCCAGATGTGTTGACTGTATTAGAACTGGACTGCTGGTGGAACATTGAACTGCACTCAATGTGGAGCTTTTATAAGCAATGTTTACAATGAAAACATTGGTGTAGGATTATTTTTTAAAACTAACAGCCTTCAATCTTGATGTATTAAAACAAAAACAAGCATTCACAAGTACACACTGCTATCAAATACTAACACTTTGCATATGTGTGTAAAGAGGCCCAGGGAGTTCCCTTTTCTTCTGGCCCAGGAAGCTTTGGGTCACATTGTGTATTTGTGCATCTGTGTACACTTGGATGGTTTGTGTGTGTGTGTGTGTGTGTGTGATTCCCATGGGCTTCAACAACTTTAAATTCCATTTCTCATCTGTTTTTTTGTCCCATACAGTGGTCAAGGCTGTTGACACACACACACACACACACACACACACACACAGTTCACTAGAAACACACTCACCAGTATATCCTTATTTCCTTTGACGAAGTCGTGGAAGGCTGCAGTAACTTGCTCTCTCGTCTTTGTTTTCTTAAAATCTCTGTTCACTGTCCCGTCCTCCTTCTACAGAGAAGAAGGGAGGAGATGAGAGGGGAGGAGAGGGGGGGAGAAAATATATGTTGAGGGATCATTAGGGTAAATAAATGTTTATATGTAGTATATCAACTCTCTGTCTTCATAAACTACAACCTCTAGGCTTCTTGTAGAGATGGGAAGGATGGGAAGGGAGGAAGGAGAAGGAGCAGAGGAGAGGCTGGATAAGAAAAGCAGAACAAACAATGAGGGGAGGAAAAAAAGGAAGGAGCAAGATATTTTTAGAGATTTAGCCTTAAAGCAGGGAAGGGTCTTTGACTTTTAGTTTTACTAACCGCAGCCATATACAAAAACACTTTGTTTGATCTCATGAACTTGTTGTTTTTATTCATTTATTTATTATTATTCTCATTATTGTTTATTTATGTATTACCGGTTACTGTAAACTATACACTTTCAGAAAATAGTGAAAAATCGCCACCCCACTTTCCCAGTGACATATTCAAATAGCCTTTTTGTCCGCACAACAGTTCAAAGCGCAGGTACCAGATACCTGATGAACATCGTACCGAAATGTCATAAATATAAATAATAAAATAATATTTTTTCAGCAGTAAGCAGTGTTCGGGTGTTTTGTTGTGGAGTCAAACTATAAAGTCTCACAAAAAGGAAATAATCAAGCAAACTAGCATAGCAAAGCATTTTACACTTACTCTCTGCCTCTGGTAATAGAAAAGTGGAAGCACTAGTAGTTGTAGTAGCACGAGTAGAAGTAGGAGTGGAACAGTAGTAGTAGTGGAACAAGTACTGGAGTTGTAGCATTAATATCAGTAGTACACATACAGTAGTGACAGTAGTATAGTAGATTAAATACAGAAGCAGTACCAACATTGGGAACCAACCAGTTGGTTCGAGTGGAATAAATGAGCTTTTCTTATTCTGCTGGCTGCCAGGCAACAAGGTACTATTTGGAGCCAAAACTATTTTTCCCTTTATGGTTCAGGTCTGAGTACAGCTAGGACTCTCTCTCTCTCTCTCTCTTTCACTCTCTCTCTCTTTCACACATACAGAGACACCATGCCAAACACTTTCCACATCCATAAGAGCTAACACAATCTATATAATACACAGTTACATAGATGCACATTTACACAAACTTGAACCGCATGAACTGCACATCCACACTTCTTTTCACACACACACACATACACATACACATACACACACACACACACACACACACATATCTCTGTTTCTGGGGATAGCCCTCAGTGTCATGGCAACGGACCACCAGGAGGCCGTGAATGTCCTTATATAGCCACAACCCTCAAATAAAGACAGCAGAGACCAAGAGATTTGTGTGTGTGTGTGTGTGTGTGTGTGTGTGCGTGTGTGTCTGTGTGCGCAATGTCAGTGCCAGATGCTGAGGCATATAGAGCTGCCACGGACAGGCCTCATGTATGACAAAGGAACTCATGCACAAACATATACTTCAGGAAGTTTCTGTTCAACACAGGAAGTTAGATCATGCCCCTTGAAGGACACACACACACCGCACACACTAAACACTGGAAGAAAGGAGGGAAGGAAGGCTGCATACACACACACACACACACACACACACACCTATCTCTTTGTGAGTCTTACCTTGACTCCCTCTATCCTAAATCCCAGGGTGGCTGTTGAGCTTATGGTCTCTCTCCACTGCATGTATCTAGGTTTGGTCACCACTTTCTGCTCGTTTTCCTCCGGCGTAGGCGCCTCAGGGTCAACCTCGATCATTTTCTGGTACATGTCGGGTCTCGGAGAGGGCTTCTTACGAGCCTTGGTCAGCTCTTCCTCGAGGTAGGTCCTGAAGTGTGATAAATTTTTTTAAAAAAAGGTGTTGAGTGGGTGAAAAAGCCGAAGAAGATAAGGCATGCGACAGACATGAGCACAGAGAGGTAGGAGGATGAGGTAGAGAAGGTGTGAAGAAGACGTCTCTTTCTAAGCAGTATGATGACACAGCTGAACACAGTTGCGCATAGTTTAATGTAGAGCTTTATGCTGCTTAATGCCTGTTAAAGGATCATTCTTGTAACTTATTTTTGCAGTTTTGGCTGCTATTTCTATTCAACTTTGACCTAAAGGACTTGCCGTAGTTAACACACTTTTCGTGTGCAATGAGGGATTACTATAAACATTTTAGGTGCTCACAGTTTTCCTGTGAACTTAGGGTTACATGAAAGTTGATGTTTTTTAAAGTTCAGTTCTATCAATTATTTATGTGATGTCACGTGTCTGCTCACCTCACTCCCATCTTACAGTCCATCACACACGGGTAGTCAAACTCTGACAACAGATCCTCCATCTGGTTGTATTTCTGGCCGTCCTTCTCTACGTCTCCGTGGTAACCAGGGACGTATGGGCGTAGCACATCTCTCATCAGGAGGGACAAACAGCGCTGCTCACAATCACAGTGTTTCTAAAGGACATCAACAACAAGTTATTCTCATTCTATACCCTTGGCTACACTGATTCGGTCTAAGCCAGAATGCATCAAAGCAACTTTCTATGTGACGACAAAGAAGGTGAGTTTGGTGTGAAAGGGAATCTTACTTTTAATATACGGCCATTGGCTCCCGCCTTGAAGCTCCCTGTAAAAAGAAGCACTTTATTGTAAAGCAGCTGCAGAAAGTAGTAAGATACAATAACTGGGAGCACCAGGGGTCTTCCCAGAGGTACTCCAGAAAAATTGGGAATATTTCACTACTATTTCACTGGCTATAAGTTATATCATATTTATAAGTATAAACTCCCAATGAGAAAATGTATAAGAAGGACTATTCTGTTTCACACTCTTCACTGTTAATCTGTCAATCTGTAGTATAAACAGTTATGGAATAACTAAATCTTATTAGACAGGGATCCCTGAGACTACATCTTATCAAATACGGATCTGTGGCCTGATGTGTATCAATTTGGGGGTCTTTTGACACTAGAAAGGTTGATAACCACTGCCCTTGAATACTGTCTCATTTAATGGTTTCATTCTAATAAACCATGTGATTTGTGCATCCACATACCTGCGTGCCCAGCCAGTTGTATCCAGGGATATTTCTTCTTGAAGGACATGACAAACGGTGACCAGTGGACCATGTTCTTAATCTTCTTCCAAGACTTGTGCTACAAACACAAACACACACAATATAAGTGATCCAGAATCATACTTCACCATAGTTAATTATGATAGATATTCATGGTCATTGTTCTAAGATTCATCATCATAAATAATCACGTTTAAATCAAACTATCATCAATTTTATTTAATCTTTCTGGTTTGCAAACTATTTGGATCCCTTTTGAAGACCTAACATATGATGATGATATGCGGCAGAGTTTAACAACTCCATGCAAACGTCCTCGAACATGAACTTGTGCGAGTCTACTAAATGTTCAGTTCCTCAGGTGGCAGTGTGCAGTCACCTTAAAATCACCCAGGAAACAAGAGAACCAGTAGTTCTCTACTGAAACTTTTGGCTAATCCGTTGCCTTTTGACTGGTTCATTTAATGGTCTTGAGCAAAACAAGTCATACACACACACACACACACACACACACACTGTGGGGCATCCCTGACCCTGGGGGAGCTGTTTTCAATCTGTCTTTGCCAGGTTCTCCCACAGCCTCTCTTTTTCTTCTTTGGCTGTTTTAGAACACTTAAACTAAACTCTGGAGGATCGAGCTGGGGTTTCCCCTGGTAACACACTCGCACGCACTCACACACAGTTTCTCCAAGGGCTCTCCCTGTCCCTGGCAAGGATATACTGAACTGCGGGACTCCTGCCACACACACAAACAAACACACACAAACTCATTCACAAACTGAGACGTATTCTGTCTCCGCCACACAAACACACACAGCAAGTTAAAGTCTAGACTGATTGAAGTCTAGTTCTCCCATATCTCCGGCTCCAGTTTTCTGTCTTTGTGATGGAACGATTCCTTTCAAATACATCACGTTAAACTGTATAAAGGTCCTGTATGTTCCCTACCAATAATGTTTACTAGAAACAAGGAAAAATATTTGAAGAACAAGAAGTAAAAATCTACTTTTCCCTGAATAAATAATAAATAAAACCACTCTTTGTCGCTTAAGGTTTCCTTAAAAACTAAGCCGCTCATATCCCTATAAGCCATAATATCCTCCTAATATTATTATGTGCTAATTGGGCTGCATGTTGCAACAGCTCACTGAAGCTACAGTACGGTAAATCACACTCTTATTGAGTACAATATTCAAAAGAAAGAATAAAAGTTTTTTATTCCTCCAGCATTACATCAGATGGAAAAACTCCAGATGTCTTGTGCTGTGGGTTTAAACAATGCTTGGCTGTGCAACATTGTGACAAGAGTTCCCAGTAGATGCAGCAGAAAAATGAGAAATGTTGTGAAGAGTTTCCCCTTAAAAACACAACAGAAGTGCTTCGTACAGCTTTAATAATTTATTTTAACACAAAACACAGAAACTAATTTACAGTAGAATAGATGTCAAATCCACACTTGAATGATCACAGCTGATCAGTAATTCTTGTGTAAGACAATATTAATGCTCAAATGCATACAGTGGGGCAAAAGCACTCTTCTATTCATGTTAATGGTGTGATCTCCCACACTTGAGATTTCCTCTGGTCTGCAAATACCAGGAGAAATAATATTATGTCTACAAATAACCAGGGAAGAGAGTTTAGAGGAGAGGAGAGGAAGGATAAGAGAAGAGAGAAGAGAACCATAGAAGGAGATATATAGCCCATGTCACATAATCTGGACCTGATGAAAATTCATCAGATGATAGCATGACTATCTTTGGTTAGATGAATGCACACACACACACACACACACACTTTCTCATCTCTCTCCCTGTGAAGGATCACATGAGAGGGTTTTCTCTGCACCACTGAATGAGAGAGAAAAAAAAACTCACCCCCTACAAAAAGTAAAACACAAACACACGCACACACACACACACACACACGTGTGGTGGCCTGCAGTGAACGAGGCTGTCGATTTATTGACTCTGTCACAAGCCGCCGCACACACACACACTGAAGACATGAGCCAGGTGTTGTGCAGAAACAGACTCTTGTTATTTATTCTTCCTCTGTCTCTCTGGGACGCTGCTGTCGTCTCTCAGTCTTAATGAGGACCAGCGAGTTCTGTCAGATCCTGCATTCACAGATTTTATCTCTCTCAGGAACATAAATTGTAGGTCAGTGATGAACTTCACAGGAGGACATTGTTGGAAAGAGAAGACGAGCTTTTATAAATGAGGACGTTCATGGAAGTAAAGATTGTTTGAGGTTGACAACAGTTCTGTAACATTTTTGGAAAGAGACGTAATTGTCCAACAGATTCAGATTTATCATCTCAGAAGGAGATTCATTTTCTTAGAAACATACAGATACGATACGTAAAATCTGTACAGATGTCCTAAGAGAGGGCAGTTTGGGAAATAAAGACACTTTTAGGATGTGAGGGAACCTTTTTAAAAAGTGAGGACACTTTATAAATGTTTTTTACATTTGGACATTTCTGGATAGTGAGGACATTTTAAAAACTTCAGTCCATCTTTTAAAGTTACCACATTTTTTAGAATGAGGTCAAGTTTTGTAATGTGAGCTACTGTTGGACATTTAAGGAAATAAAGACAGTTTTAGGAAGTGACATTTTAAAAAAGTGAGGACATTATATGAAGTCAAACAGAAATAGATTTGAGATCTCAGAGGGAGATTCGTTCACAGGTAGAATCTGTACAGTTTGGGAAATAAAGACACTTTTACGGAATGTGAAAAGGGTGTTTTAAAAAAAATGTTTTTGAATGGGTGGAGGATTTTTTTGGAAACTCCCCGGGACGTTTCTATGGAGAATCCAACATTTTAAAAAAGTGAGGACATTTTAAAAACTTGAGGACATTTTGGTAAAGTGAGAAGAGTGAACATTTCTGGAAATTGAGACAATTTGAGAGACTTTAAACTTTTAAAATTTGGACGGTTTTAAAGGTTGAGGACATTTTTATTGCATCTTTGTAGAAGGTGAGGACATTATTATAAAGTTTTGGGGAAGTGAAGACACGTCCTCACTGGTGGACTGTCTGAGGGTTTAGGGTTAACATTCAGATTCAGGTTCAGGTCCTCACAAGTAAGTAGACTGACATACACACACACAGAGACACACACAGACCACCCACACACACATGACACAGGCACATACAGCAGACAGAAGCGAGGAACAAAAAGTCACGCGCTGGGCCGGTCGACATTAGGCTTCTGTTGGAGACGAGAGACCATTGGAAACCCGGTAGCCCGTAAACACTCCCTCCTTCTCCATCCCCACATCGCCATGGGCGACCTAACTGGACAGTGCTGTGCATTCCTGCTGTGTGTGTGTGTCTGCTGTGTGTGTGTGTGTTTGGGGGCGGGGGGGGCAGATGGCCACTGGGCATTCGTGTGAGAGGCGGGCATCCCATGCCCCACCCGAGAACGGGTCAGCGTGGTGGTTGCCGTGAGTTGACGTGGCGGTCGCCCGTAGAACACGAAGAATGCGAGGGTGGAGGGGGAGGGAGGCTGGCACCGTCCGTTGTGGCCAAACCAACACACCACGACACCACGCACCACACCACAGCAGCACGCTACTATAACGACAGCCCAGCCATGACCGTGATCAATAAGTGTGTGTGTGAGTCGCCGGATTATGTTACAGGCTCGAGGAGGCAGACGTTGCAGCGAGGGTGCTTTCCCTCCGTGTGTGTGTCGTGTGTGTGTCTATTTGCACACCCACTGTCTCAAGGTGAAGCCTCAACACCCACACACACCCAGTACAAAACACGCAAACGCCCACCCCTCCATGAACTCATCCCACAACTGTGTGTGTGTTTTGTGTGAGTGTGTGTTGTGTGTGTGTGTGTGTGTGTGAGAGAAGAGTGTGGTGTGTTGTGTGCCGTGTTGAGCTGAAAGTGCGTGACTCAGGACGAGATGAGGAGCCTGGCAAGAGACCATAGAACAGTTATCAGAAGACCCAACCGG